TGCAAATGGTGCCCTCTAGAACTTTCCAGTGCACAACTATGTGTGTCGTTACTGCTTTGATGATACTGGATGAGAATCTTTACTTATGCTGAAAGCAATATCCCTCGTTACCAAAATAAATTTCTCATGCAAACCAGATTAGGGCAGTTCATTCCTTCTTGAATTAACTGTTAAGCTTAGTGGAATACAATCAAATCAGAACCAAACCAGTTACTGTATTTACAGCAAATCACATCCTCTGCTATCAAATGGATTCTGACTAATAGCAAACAGGAAAGAGCTGTACTGTCCACACAGGGTTACCAAGGCTGTATCTCTTTTCCAAATCAAACTTTCACATTTCTCACGTACACAGTAGCTCAGGCATCAGATCCACCCACCTTTCAATCAGTAGCTCAAGTATTTAACCACTGTGCCACTAATGTTGCTATACTTAAAATTCCATGAGATTTTTCAAATTCCTTTTACTTACTTACCTCAACACCTGATAGAGATGAGAGACAAGATAAAGGAAAGGGAGGCTATAGTAGCTAAGCTGCTGAATTTGTAGCTACCTTTTTATCAGATTTGGGAGAAGTGCCAAATTGTATTTACTAACCTTCATGGCTGAAAGTTAATTTCTTATCTTAAATTGGACAACTTAAAGAGAATACAGAAAGCTCTGGCGGTAAACTATGCAGGGAGTTGATAGCACAAGGTCAAGCCTCTCTGGTAGTCCCAATCTCAAGGTGCTTCACAGGAAAAAGATGGGCAATCTCCTTTTGTGATTTGCAGCCTCAGAAATCCAATGGTGTGGGGGAACGGGGGGGTCAGCTCTGAGTCTGGTCTGACTCAACAGCAATAAATTTTGGTATCTGGGTGTTTTTTCTTAAGAGAACATATATTATCTGGACAAGTTAGTTAATCTTTTCTAAAAAGTCAATTCAAGTCTATATTGATTTTTTTAAACCTTTTAGTTTATTTTCAAACAAAAAGGAAAACATGACAAAAATCCAGTTCTCTTTTTAATAATCTAATCGAGAGGCTGGGCTCTATGAGGAGAATTGTGGCATCAGGATTGGTGGAAGAACTATTAACAATCTCCGTTATGCAGATGACACAACCTTGCTTCCTGAAACTGAGGAGGACCTCATGCACTTGCTGCGAAGGGTCAAGGACTGCAGCCTTCAGTATGGACTAAGGCTCAACGTCAAGAAGACAAAGATTCTCGCCACTGGACCAATTGGCAGCGTCAGGATGGATGACGAAGAGATTGAGAGTGTTCACAGCTTCACTTTGCTCGGCTCCACAGTCAACACTCTTGGCACCAGCAGTCAGGAAATCAAAAAGCGTATCGCGATGGGAAAGTCTGCTGTTAGGGACCTCTCAAAGGTACTCAGGAGCAACAGTGTCTCTCTGGAGACTAAGGTGCGCCTGATACAGGTCATGGTATTTGCAATCGCTTGTTATGCATCAGAGAGTTGGACAATGACTAGGGAGGACAGAAGGAGAGTGGATGCTTTTGAGCTGTGGTGCTGGAGAAGGGTACTGAATGCACCATGGACTGCCAGGAAAACAAACAGATTCATCTTGGAGAGGATTAAACCAAGCTACTCCTTGGAGGCAAAGATTCTGGGTCTTCGTCTGACATACTTTGGACATGTTGCCAGGAGGGATGGGTCCTTGGAGAGGGACATCATGCTTGGGAGGGTGGAGGGACAACGCAGGAGGGGAAGACCCTCTATGAGATGGATTGATTCGGTGACTGGGGTAATTGGGATGGGTGTGTCAGAGGCAGTGCGGTTGGCGCAGGATAGAGCAGGGTTTAGAGCTGTTGTGCATAGGGTCGCTATGAGTTGGAAACGACTCGATGGCACATAACAACAACAACAACAATAATAACTTGTGTATAGCCTTGGAAACTTTTTAAATGATTTCTCATATAAAAACATCTTATCCATTCATAACTATGTCTACCTACTTATCACATAGGTATAGCTATAAATATATTCATGTTTCTATAATTTAAATACTTAATTCAAAAAATAATTCTAGAAAATAAATTTGAGCATCAACTATGTGTGAACATATATTTATTTGCACAGTTGTTATTCAACATTTTAAAAGGTATTGACCAACCTTTTACAGCCAAGAGGAACACGTCATTATCATGTCCTGCTTGAAATTGCAGATGTTTAAGTTATATGTTTATTATGGTTTTTAATAAAATAAATAATCCAGTAACATTTCCCCCCTCGATCTTATTATTTGGGTGCTTTTAGTGTTCAGAATCCCGATAATATTCATTCTATCCCTTTGTCTTTTCATGCTTTTTGTTTTCACAAATCTCATCCATGACTTTATAAAACCTGTTGACTTTTAAAAAATTTTATTTTATTAATTTTAATGAACGTTTACAGAGATTTTGGATTTCCATTCATTCTTTGTTGCACTTTTCTCTCTATGGCCCCTCTCGCCACTTGCCCTCCCACCCTCCAGTTTGCTCCTCTCCGAAAAGCAAAAGATAAACTCCTTCATTGGTATACAATGCCCCCCCCCCATTGCACTCCATTATGCAATCTTAATTCTGGACTCCTGTGATAACCATAATAACCTATCATATATTGCTTTTAAACTGTTCTCTCCCTCATCTACTTCTTCTCAGTCTTACCCCAACCCTAACATCAGTCCCATTCTAGAACAGTGGCACTATGCAGTATTTGTCTTTTTGTGAATGAGATATTTTACTCAGAATAATGTCCTCCAGGGTCACCCATTTTGAATAATATTGCATGAGTTCCTTGTTTTTCAATGCAGCATAGTATT